CCCCAAAACCCCAAAACCCCAAAACCCCTTTTTATAATCTAACTGTTGAAAATTAAAAATGAAAACTTATTACTCAAATACTACAAATAACATTTACAAATCTAATTACAGCATGAGCTTACTCAAGAAGGAGCTCATGCAGTATATCAACACCTGTGTCCAGAAATAAATTTGAAAAACTCCAAGACAGATTAGAAGAGCTAGAGTCCCAGATCCCCTCTTCACGAAGAAATAAGGTTCATATTGAGTCTCCCTATCTCAAGCAGTCCAAGTAAATGCTCGGAAATTACATCTAGGCTGAATAAGCGTAATAGTTTGGAAGAATATCTTCACAAAGTTGACCATAAGTCCAAGTAATGGATGTCAGCACCAATCAAGACCCTCCAAGCGATCCACTGAACCTAAGGTCAAGCATTCTAGTGAACAGAGAACCTCTAAATTATATAAAGGTATGGCTTTTCTGAATTTTTAGAGAAAATCCGTACAGCGAAGCCCACTTCCAGACCAACAGAAGTTAATAAAAAGCCTAAAATAAACATAAAACCTAATGTAACTAAATAATCTGACTACTCTTCGAGGAGTTTTCAAGTCTGACTTCAACCAAGTCACCAAGGCACTTAATCAGAGTAAGAGCAAGAGCATCTCCAAGAATGGTAGGTTTTGGACCGAATGACCTCTCTAGCATCGAACATGAGTCCTTCCCACAACATAACTCTTAGCATCAACAATAGCGGGACTCCCAACACTGCAGCACCACTGTCTGCCAAGATGCCATTGAATTCAAAATAAAATCAGTTCACAGAAAATTTGAATGAAGCATCACATCGAGACTCCCAATGGATCCAAGTCAGATAACAAAGAAGGAATCCTAGTTGTCTACAAGTGTATCTGAAAACGTCGGTCTGAGAAGACCTCCAACCCTTGCAGCAACTACTGTGCTTACCTCCCTCCTGGGAAGCAGAGAGACATCATCCTTAGCGAAAAATGAAAGGTTTGTTTAAAATAACCCTTCTAGACCAACAAAAGCTCTGAAAATTCTGAAATCTGGTATGCCATCTCTGCTAAATGGTGGAAGAAATGGTGTGACTTTGTCAACATTGAATACCAAGAAATAACCAGTCCCTCTCTGGAAAAGGTCATGTCAGCACAGAATCTCGAAGGAGACTACTATCAGCAAGGTAAAGTGCCTGTTTAACCTCTAGATAACACTTCTAAGTCACCTAGGAAGGTTAGTTCTCAAAATCTGAAGTATAATGAATACCAGCAGAGGCAAGAAGTTACCCAGTCAGTTATCTCGGTCACTGAGCTATACGACCGACCTGATAGGATCAACAATTCGGAAATATGCGAATACAGTGATGAGTACCTAGCCTTTACTCTTAAGAACAATGTGCAGGAGCTATATGACTACATTAGAGTAAACCACCTTGTCTGGAGGTACATCAAGCGATGGTACGGGTACGACCACGAGGTGATCATCAACCCATAATGTCACAAATTTACGCTTAATATTGAATATTATATCTCAACATGTAAGCTGAATATTGGGGTTTTGGGGTTTTGGGGTTTTGGGGTTTTGGGGTTTTGGGG